ATTAAGAGTAAAAATAATGTTTGTGAATATTATGTTTTTGGAAAACAATACAAAATTTCTTTTTAGCTAGGTCGTTCTTGGAGAGTCATCTTCAATGGTTGAAACTTTACATTTAGATATGTATGGTGATTTTTTTTTTTTTTAGATTTCTCTTTACATGCATTTATTATTATTGTTATCAATGAATAAATATTATGATATAAAAGATATGATTGTCTAAATTATGATGAACTAATAGTATTAAATTAAAATAATATGATAGTCGATTTGCCTAAAATTAAGAGTAAAAATAATGTTTGTGAATATTATGTTTTTAAAAAACAATACAAAAATTCTTTTTAGCTAGATCTGGAGAGTCATCTTTAAACTTCTACATATATATATATATATATATATATATATATATATATATATATATATATATATGTATGTATATATACACTATCTTATAGTATAGAAGTAAATACTTTTTTATTATTTACAGATGACACAAGAAGAATGATATGGATATATGTTTTGAAAGAAAAAGCTAAAGCCTTCTTTATTTTCAAAAATTTAAAGGCATATGTAGAAAAATAATATGGTTATTTAGTTAAAACTCTGTGTATAGATAGAGGGGGTGAATTCATTTCCAATTTTTTTTTAATTTTTAAAAGAATTCAATCATTTACATAGAATTGATTGTAAGCTATATCCTATGAAGCATTTACATAAATTGGAGCAGCAAAGCAAAAGGATCGAGTTGTGATCGAGATTGCCAGGTGTATGCTTAAAGAAAAAAATAAAACCAAAAGAGTTTTGGAGGAAGCTATGGGTAATAGTGTATTTGTTAAACTACCTTTCTACTAAAGTAGTATAAGGAAAAACACACTTAAAGATATTTTGTTATGATGTTTATTTTCATGCTTATACAAAAAATAACTTGATGATAAAAGTATTAAATGTGTATTTGTGGGATATAGTAATAAAACAAAAGGTTTTAGACTTTTATGAACCTATAACTAAGAAAGTAATCACAAGTCATAATGTTATTTTTAATAAGAAGAAGTTTGAAACTCTAAAGCAGTTAAAATTTTTATAGTTTAAATAATTCTTATCGATATTAAAACATTTTCAAGGAAATTTCATAATCATTCACAAATATATTAGTTTGGTTGTATGTTTTGTTTTAAAATATACTAGTTTTGAAGTTACAGCTCAAAAATATAAATTGATGCAAATGATGAATTGTAAGCTATTAAAAAAAATAAAACTTAGAAGCTAGTAAATTTGCCCTAGGAAAAGAAGCAATGGACTTAAGTGAGTATATAAGTTCAAATTTAATGCTGATAGCTCACTGTAATAACATAAAATTCGTTTAATTGCTAAAGGGTATGCTCAAATATCATGTATCAATTTTTCAATTTTTTTCTCTAATTGCTATAATTGATATAATTAGAATAATATTAGCATTCATAGCCCTAAAAAAATGACATGTTTATCAATTTGATATTAAGTCAATCTTCTTGATTGAAAAGTTATAAGAGGGGATTTATGCAAAGGAACCTAAAGGATTTGAAATTAAAGAGCAAGAAGATAAAGTGCACAAATTAGATAAACCATTATATAATTTAAAACAAGCACCAAGAGCATAATATAACAGATTTGATAAGTATTTTCTTCAAAATAATTTTCAAAAAAAATTCAAGTGAGTCAACTTTATATATAAAAGTCAAAAGTATGAAAATTCTTATTGTCTATTTGTATATAGATGATATGATTTATATTAGAAATAAAATAGATATAGTAGTTGAATTTAAGAAAAACATGATGTTAGAATTTGAAAAGATTGATCTAGAGCTTTTACATTATTTTCTTAGAATAAAAATTATTCAAGATGCAAATAAAATTTTTCTATGCCAAGAAAAATATACTAAGATTTGTTAAAAATATGTCATATAAATATTTCATATGACAGCTTGTAAACTAGTGAATACTCCAATAAATATAAATAATAAGCTTATGTTTAATGATAGAGTTGAAAAAATAGATAAAAAATAATATAGAAGTTTAATTGGAGGGTTGATATATCTCACACATTCATAGTCAGATATTATATTTACAGTTAGTTTGTTATCTAGATTCATACACAACACTAGCAAGTATCATTTTAAAATAACTAAAAAAATTCTTAGATACATCTGTTATGAGCAAATAAAAGATAGAAAAAATAATTTAGGATTTGTGCTCAACTTCAGCTTCAGAATAATTTCATGAATAATTAAAAATAAAAATATATTATCCTCTCAAGCAATCTCTAAGATAGAGTATGTTACGACTACACTACGACATGCTAAACAATTTGATTAAAAAAATAGGATCAATCAACTAAAATATACTACAATAACAAATTTGTCATGACAATGATGAAAAATCCTATCTTCCATGGGTGTACCAAGCACAATAAGGTCTAACACATTTTATTAGTGAACCGATAGATAAAAGAACATTTCAAATAGGTTATTGTAGCATTGAAGATCTAACTTATCGATATTTTTATAAAAGTTTTACCTAATTTTTTTTTTAAATAACTTCAAATTATAATTATTTTAAATTAAGGGGGGTGTGAGAAAATATAATCCAAAACAACTCATCAGTTTTGGAATTTTTCATCCATTTTGGAACCGTTTGAAATAGATGAGGAGAAGTGAAAGATTTGGTAGATGATAAATATGAGTTGTTCTATCCAAATAGATGGGGATGAGTACTCTGCGGGGATGAAAACGAGGAGATTTCTTAGGCTACGATTGAGTTGAGTTGATAGATTATCATAATATTTTCTCTCATTTAAAAGTTTATATTTTATCCTTTTAATTATTTTATATGTTTTTGGATAAATCAAAGATTAAAAGTACTCACTTTCTTTTATGCTATCTATCTTCTTTCTTTTGTTGCTGGAAGGAGTTTTCCTGTCTTGACCGAGCAAGGAATTATACGAGCCGAAACGTCGCTTCAGCTCTCTTGTCTCCCAACACCAGCGCTCATTACATATCATTTCCTTTGTTCCTCGGCTCTCTACTCCTCTTTCACGATCACCACGCACAACCACAATACACCTCCGTAAGAAACAAAAGATCGGAGAGAGCATGGACTCCGATAAGTGGATCCCTTCGAGCGATGTTGGAGGAAGGGGAATGGCCCATGTCACTTTAGGTTTCAGAGTGTTTTGGTGTGCTTTCTTTGGTATCATGATTGGTCACTTCCAAGTTTGGCTTGACATGTTATCTTCCCCTTTCCCCATCCCACCCAACAGATCCAGTCACACACGTCCTCCCCCCCCCTCCTCAGCCAAGCTCCCACTAAGAACACTGTCATGCTAGAGAGCAGCATTTACAAACCCTAACACCCATCTGCGAGGCATTGACATGAGAGCTCGGGCACTCGATGGTGGCATTTGATTGCTGGCGAGAATAACGAGATGCGTCGCAGTGTTGGGAACGGACTGGATGGATGTAACGTTTCTGAGGCCACCACAACCTACCATCACAAACACAATAATACTTGATTCAGACAATACGTGGGAGACGTCCCAAAGGCGAGCCTGCGCTGCCCTAAATTTCTAAAGTTACTGATGTCTTCTTCAACTTTTGACTGTGTCACATGTGAGTGCGAACAGTGTGGCCATGACAGTAACTCGCGAACTCTGGCAGAGCTGCCCAGGCTAGTGGTAGGATCAGGGACAGGGGGCTGCCTCCACCGCACTGGCTCGTGAGAACCTTAACACTCGACGCGTACTGTGAGTGTACTCGGTTGCAAAAAGACGAAGGGCGTGCTGCTGCAGTCTTGGAGTCCGTCTTCTACCTCCGGTTTTGTGTGTGCAGCGTCGCACGTAGGAGTCGCGTGCGTCCACGTTAACTCCGGGACGGAGGCCAACCCCTGTGGTAGGGTGACCCGCTCGTGTTGCATGGTTGTACGTGCGTCACGAGGGACGTTGCGTGGAGCGACGTGTGGGTTCTGCATGTCCTGCCCCACGTCAATGGCTTGGCTGTTTCCGCTCTGAGGTGCAGTACTTGTGCCAGATTTAGTGATACAACTTTGGAGGAATTCTCTTTTCATTTACTTGATAATAAAGCATGTCTTAATCTTCTTTTTTTTCATAAAAAAGTAATACCAAAATTTGATATTTTGGACCAAAAAACACACACTTTTTTTTTTACTTTTATAAAAAATTAAGTAATAGTAAAATCAAAAAGTATATAATATATAATATGTTCTGTTCTCTTTTGGAAATAAGAGGAGGAGCAAAGAAGAAGATTGCTGCTAAGTAACAATCTCTTTACTATTGGTAAAATATAATTTATAATTTATTATTTTTAATTATCAATCTTAATTTTTTTTTATGAAGATAGACTCTTTTTTTTCTCTTTATCGTTCTTCGTTGATAATCTCATCAAGTATTCTTTCTCTCTGTGTCTATATCATATACATTGAGCTTAATTTACATTGTTTAAAAAAATAAAGAAAAAAAATTATATGTCGGATATCCTTGAAATATTAAAAAAATAAGATTATAAATAATAAATAAAGTTACAAATAAAAATTTCTGAAAAAAATTATGGAAATGATAATCCAATAAGAGATTGATCACATACTAAAATACAATCTAAATTATGGATGAATTGGAGGTGACAATGAAATTTACATTTCCTTTTTTCTTCCACTTTGTTTGTTTAATGATTATTATCTGAGAAGCGGTTGAAAGCTGAGGAATTTGCTGAGTGTGTTATTTGATGAGTCTAATAATTGTTTATATGGAGCCCAAAGCGGCGGCTCGGTATTGATCTTGTTGGGCTTTTAATTGCCCTACAAAGAGTATTATTAATTGGATTTCTGTCCGTGGATCCCTTTGCTGGTTTCTGATGTCCAATTACCAAGCGGGTAAGGACGTGGGTGAGTTCGAAACGTTAGGAAAAGTTTTTATTACCCCTTTTCACTTTCATATAAACGAGGACTCGGAAGAGACACGCAAAGCTTGAAACGGACGCTGATGGCGGCTTCCTCTGCTCCTCCAGCGACTCAGAACCCCCTCAAAACCCTAAGAAATGCATCCTTTCCTCGCCCCTGTCGCCTTCGCATCGTCTCGCCTGCGAGACCCCTGCCGATCTCCGCGCTCGCCTCGTCCCCCTCCACCGCCGCCGCCTCACCACTTTCCGCCGACGCCCGCCACCGCGACGACGTCCTCCGTGCGGCCCGCGCCGCGCTCTCGAACTGCCTCTCCGAGACCTACCTCGATCGCACCGTCCCCGGACTCAGCTCCAAGGCCCGAGGCAAGGTGTGATGTTCTGCTTCGGTGCTTCCCCCCTTTTTCTTCCTTCGCTTTCTCTTTTCTTGCACTATTATAGACCGATTGCTGCAGGTGAGGGATATTTATGATGCGGAGGACCATCTCGTTCTCGTTACCACCGACCGGCAGAGTGCCTTCGATCGGGTTCTTGCCTCCATCCCCTTCAAAGGCCAGGTATTTCTTCTTGTCTCCATTAACTCTGATGTGTTAGATAATGGTGAATACCACTTTCTTGTTGTTTCGTTGGTTCTCGATTCCATGGCTGATAATTGAATGACTCTGCGTCTGAACTTTTTATCTCTTAAATTAACGCTGAATTAGGCATGGAGCAGGAGAAAAAAATTAGGCATTGTTCATTGTGGTCTCAATTAAGGAAAAAGCACAATGCTCCTCTCGTTCCATTATTTTTGATGTGATATGGCACTTATCGAGCGATGAGTGTTTAGAATGTTTCAACAACTTTTTAATGAACTTAAGAAAAGCCTCTCTCACATGTGACTATAAATGAATTGGATCATTGGTGATCTTCCCCAATCTGATAATCCAACAAATTGGCTAAAAACTGATCCATGTACAATATTAAAACAAGGCTTCAAACTGGAAAAAAATTATTTTGGTGTACTTATATGTCAATACTATTCACTAGCATTCTGTTCTTTACTATTGCTTACTGGTGTCCTGTCTTCTACTATTGAAGCAAGTTTTATGCTTTTCCTGTGATGGGTGTACTATTTAGGAATTATTTATAGATTGAATTAAGGTCTATCTATGTATGTCTAAGCTGTCAATCAGATTCTTGGACAGATCACCTTTTGAGCTCAGTATATCCAAATGCTTACTGTTTGTATATGGTCAAAGAATGATTGGAGTTTACACCACCGAGGATCAAAATACTTTAGTCATTGCATTTTCCTTGAATTGATGGAAACCTTTTCTCACACTTTCCTAAGCAAGGACCTAAGAGTTTGGAGGATATTTATAGCACTAATATCTCCTGTATTTATTCTAATATTTCTTAGCGTGTAGGCCTTTTGACTCTACATGATGGAATTCTGGCTAGGATATAAAACGATGTTCTTTTTAAGCATCAGCTATAGCTGTGATCATTATGTGACAATATTCATATAACTGTAGAAAACGATGGAATTATAAATATAAAGCTTACCACATAAACAATACTGGTGCTTTGATATCTAATTCCAATTAATCCTTACCAGACATTATACGTTCAGATCTATAATTCGTTCACTATGCCAGAAGTTCCATATTCATCGTTCTACAATACACAAACTACTTCTGATGCTTGAAGTATTCCAATTATTTATCATGTTCTATAAAAACCTAGGTTAGTCACACTTAATTGACATCAATATTCATAATCTCTAGAAAAACCTAGATTATTAGCACATCAATTAATTCTATTATGAGTTGGTCAATTAAAAGATAGATAACTGTGTTTAACTATTTGCTTTATGGAAGCCATGTCGGTATGCATTGTGTTAAAGTTGCCTAGTATTTTGTAGGAGATAGTCAGGATCCTTAAACATGTCATATAAAATCTTCACACAAGCTGTTCTCTCCGTATCATACTTGAAAAAGAAAACTCAACTTTGACTGAATATGTAGAAAATATTATTAGATTTAAGATAAAAAGAGCTTCGGTGTCACTGGAACCAAAAGTGCATATACTAATTAATGATCCCAATTGGAGTGCCTTATTACTAAAGGAGATAGCAAAAACCAAAAATCCACACACAAGTTTTTCTTCTCTGCTGTCTGCAACATTAAAAGGTTGGAGTAATCCAAACTACAATATTGATTTAAAAAAGATACTGCATCCAGATAATGTTCTTGATAAATTTTCCAGTCTCAGCAAACATTATATCTGTCTAAACATTGGAGGTCTCACCAACGAGACTTACTACAAGCACCAGGACCTTTTCAGGATTCTTTCTTGGTTGCATGATATTTTTAATCTTCATCCTACGGGATGTTAATAAAATTTTGTCTTCCAATTATTATGATCTTTTTTCTCTTTTATAATTATTATGTTCCTCATGATGCAAGGATTGCACTTTGATTTTCAGGTCCTTAATGAGACAAGTTTATGGTGGTTCAATAAGACTCAACATATTACTCCAAATGCTGTGATTTCTGCTCCAGATAGTAATGTGACAATTGCAAAAAGGTGCTCAGTGTTCCCAGTTGAATTTGTTGGTGAGACATTACCTGCTCTATAATTCATTTAATTGACACTATGTTTTCTCTTAATAATTCATTTAATTGGTCAAATGTAGACACAATATGATGGATTGCTATTTTCAGTCCAAGTGAAAATGAACAACAATCAGCACAGTTGCAGTATCTTGTGATTCTCATTTTGGCTTCTGGTCTTAGAAGCTTAGTTAGATTCTTCTTCTGCTGACTTTGGCCTATAAAATCTTTAACACCAAAGCACCAATCCATGTCCTACAGACCTTTTTTGTAAAGTAGTTTGTGCAATTATTCATTTCATCATGCTTATAATGCTCAATGAACTTGCTTTACTTGCATTTTTTTCCTTCATTTTCTGGTGCATGTTTGCAGTAAGAGGTTTTGTGACTGGAAGCACTGATACGTCACTGTGGACAGTCTATAATAAGGGTGTGAGGAACTATTGTGGCAATGTACTTCCTGAAGGTATATTTATTGGCCAGTATCTACTTGTAGCTACATTCAGGTAATCTTTGTTCTCTTCACATATTGCAGGAATGGTAAAGAATCAGAGGCTACCTGCCAATATTCTTACTCCTACGACAAAAGCTGTGGATCATGATGTTCCTGTGTCACCTGATGAGGTTTGTCCCAACTGATTGTTCTTAATAGATAGCACTGTTCTGAATCCGTCAATTGTACTATCCCAAGTTAATTGCATATTATACCATTGCTTCACAGAAACTCCAACTAACTTTGTTTTCAAAATTTGTCCAAGATGTCCTCTTCTTGGCAATTCCTCTCATGCTAAATTATTACAGAAGTTGCTCATTGATAATCATGTAATTTGTGAACTTTTTTGCTTCCCAGCTTGTTGAGATACTTTGAACTACAGGATCTGTGAAGTTTACTGAAATTGCTGTTAATTTCAATAATGTTCTCCTTTTTTGAAACAAATAAGAGATGATGGTCATGTAAATAACTAAATTAAAATGCACTGATCTTTTGTTCCTAAATTCATAGTTTTTATTCTTGATCTGGGCCTCCGGAGTGTCACAAAGATTGCAGGAAAATTGTTGGGACTGTCAACTACGGTCTGTGTTTTAAATGACCCTGGGCTTATCATGTTCCTTCAGATTGCTCATCCTTGTTGGGTCATTTTGTCAATCTTGTAATCCTCCACTTCCTATTTACTCCTCTAGTCAATTTGCACCAATGAATGAACAAAATTTATCATGAAGCTACAAGTTGGATTTGAACTGCTAAATGAGATGATTTGGAGGTCTTGTTGCTTAGCTTCTATTTATGTGTTACTGGTTATGTCCAGATTATTCAGCTGGGTTTGATGACACAAAATGAATTGGATGAAGTAAGCAGTAAAGCCTTGGCGTTATTTGCATATGGGCAGGTAGGTCCCTCTGCTCCTGTTAATCACCTTTTCTTATGCTTCTTCACAAGATACACTTGGTTCAACAAACTTTGTCAAACTTCAGTGAAATGTGAACTTTTGGTCGCTTGTTCTTTTGTCTTACCAAAGAAAGGACATATAGATGCTTATCCTGCACTACATTACTGCATGTACGTGCATTGAAGGTTTAAAGTGTCAGATGATTTGTAATTAGTCTGCTAAACTGCAGGCTTTAACATGTAAGATTTTTGTTGAAACTTGTGATGAGCTTTAACAAATTCATAATCAAATTGTATCTTGGAAATCAAACTATTATGTTATTCAAATAATCATTTATCTATGTGGTTAGTGTTGATGATAAATTTATTACTTGCAGCAAGTGGCATTGGAGAATGGTTTGATTTTAGTTGACACAAAGTATGAATTTGGAAAGGGAGCTGATGGGACGATAATGTTGATTGATGAGGTGGGTTATGCTGTATGGCCTTCCTGAAATGTTATGCTATTTCACAATATAGTTGGCATGCTGTATTTGTAATCTTTGTACCTACATCTCATATATATTTTTTGTTTGGAGTGAAAAATTTCAAATTATCTTGTTAATTAACATTTTTCAAGAATATGCATTGCCTTGCTATTTTTTTTGTTGATTAGGATCGACAATATTAGAAGATCTTCAGCAATTTGGTATGGAAGTTCTCAATCTTCCATCTTTACCTGGAGCATATCCTCCATCATCTTTTGTCTCTTCTGCAAGTTTCAAGTTAAACATTGGTTACTCGATTTGTCATATTTTCCTATAAAATAAAAGTGGAATAGTTAAATTGAGAAGTGTGTCAAAAGTTTTATGTGATTGCTTTGTGCCTTTTGGATTAAGAGGTACATTCCATGAGACAATTATAAAACCAACTATAATTTATGGGTTGGAATGTTGGGTAGTTGGAAATAACATAAACAAAAAATAAACAATATTGAGATGAAAATGTTGAGATGGATGTGTAGGATTACTAGAAATAATAGAAGAAAAAATAATTTTATTTGAAGACAATTAGGTTTAGTCTCCATGGAGGAGGGTAAAACAATGAAAAACCCTACATGATGTGAAAACGTTTGGAGTAGGAGGTGAATCAAATAAGAGCAATTGTGGATGGGAGGTAGAGGATGGTCTGAAAAAAGCTTTATTAGAAATAATAACAAATTTTACTCTTTTTCAGTTTAACTATAGGGATATAATCGTATAAATAACTTAATGACAGGGAAAGATTCATGTAAACGGACTTGACTGATGGAACAACAAAGTTTGTTCTTGTATTCAATCAGTCAGTTAAAATTGTTTTGATCTTTCATCCAGGTTTTCCTAGGCATATTTTTTTCTACTACAAACCCTTGGCTTTTCTGTGCCCATAGATCTGTTGTGATGTCAAATTTTTTTATCTTCCAACATCTAAGCTAGAAATAATTAAGTTTAGATGCCCACTTAATTATCTACTTTTGTAGGATTGTACGATCATGAGTTAGATCCTTTGTTGGATTCTCGTTACATCTAACATCGATGCCCAATTTAGTTGTGAGATTCATTTTTAAAGGACCAGAAGTCCAAAATTGTTAATGTCATTAATCCTGCATCCCATTTTTTTTCCTTCTTGGATTTCTATGCATAATTTTTTTATGTTTTCTGCAGCCAGTCTTGAATCTGGTGAAATGAAGGTCGTATATGTTGCTGCAAACATTAGAAACCCTTTTTGCATCAACTTACCTGTTGTTGTTTGTACTAATATCATTGTTTCAATCCCCTTATCTGATTGACCGTCTTGCACTGTTTGTTACATGTGTCAGTCCCATTCACAGTTCTTAAAGTTGTTAATTTGAAAAAGACAATAGTGACTGTTTCTCATGGAGTAGCTTCAGATCTGTTTCTCTACAGTAGTGTCTTTTCCACAATGCCAAGTTAATTGCTAATTATAGTTGCATGACCAACTTACTGAACTTTCATTTGAATAAACTCCATTTGAGGATGGGGAAGTAATTGGGTTTTCCTTTCAAAAAAGTTTTCTGTTACACATAAAGCTAATATTCTTTGAGTATGGAATCTCAAATTTTCCCATGTGACACAGTAAAATTATTAACCATTAATTGAAGCATTGTACTCCACACATACATTTATTAACTTTTTTTTTAATATTGTTATTTATACCGAGCAACTTCTAATATTGTTCTCCTGCTGGCAAAATATTGATATGGAATCTGATAATTTAGGTGCATACCCCTGATTCAAGCAGATATTGGATTGCCAATTCTTATGAGAAGCAGTTTAATGCTGGCTGTGAACCTGAAAATGTTGACAAGGTGTGTGATGTAGGATTTTGATATACAGATTTGGGTTTTATCGTTTCTTATGTATTCCAACTTCCTTATCTTCAATTTTACAAATGTTACTTGTAAAGACATCGTAGAATTTCTCATATATCTTAAAAAATGGTTCAGTTTGGAAGTTGCTGATGCCTTGGTATTTGGCATGTTCTTAGGAATTCCTAAGGTTGTGGTTTAAGGAACATTGCAATCCATACGAAGATGAGGTATATTGTGTACTAATTTCCAAAATTTGCATTTGTTGGAGTTGTCTGTCTCATTAACTTTGACCTTTTAGGTTCTCCCTGAGGCTCCTGAGGATCTTGTTTGTGAGCTTGCATGGCGGTATATTTTCTTTTACTCAAATCAAGATAGTAGCTTAATATTTTCTTGAAATAGAGAATAGAATGGATACTTTGTTCACATCATCATGATGCAGTGGTGGATTTAACTCTTTTTCCTAGCGAACTGGATAATATCGCCACAAAAAGCATATAAATCTAATTGTAGGTCATTCATTCCAAAATTCCATACAACAGAACAGGACAACATCTTCCACTCACAACTGGCTTGTGCCCCCAGTCTTGAAGTCACACAAAGGCTTTCAACAAAGCCACATTCTAGAAGTTGTATCTTGACACATAATATATTGTATGTTACAAGGATCGCAGATCTAATATCATCTTGAGACGCACAACTTCACAAGTTTCTCAGAAGAGGAACATTATGGAGCATTCATCATTTAAACTTTTATGCGATCACTTTAATTAGTTCAGCATTTTGTAAACATCTTTTCGAGTGATGTTCAAAAGCTAAAGCTTGCCATGTTATGGGAGTTGACGTTTGGTTGATGCCAATCTTCTTCTGAACATTGGTAACTGATGGCCTATCATTTCACAAATTTGGTTTTCACATATGGCTGATTTAGGATTTTGCATGCAGGTACATCTTCCTCTTTGAAACCATCACAAATTCGAACTTCCAACTGCCTGCTACAGAGGTATTCCAGGACATAGTTTGGCTTCATATATTTAAGTGATGACGGTGTCTTATTAAATCCTTGTACAGGAACCAATACATGATAGGATATCCAGGAACGTTTCCAGGGCACTATCAAGCATATAATTGTGGTGTTTCACCTATGGAGTTTCAACTGCTGTAAGTGCAGTTGCAGCTTATGCTGTGTCTTATTAAATCCTTGTACAGGAACCAATACATGATAGGATATCCAGGAACGTTTCCAGGGCACTATCAAGCATATAATTGTGGTGTTTCACCTATGGAGTTTCAACTGCTGTAAGTGCAGTTGCAGCTTATGCTGCAGATCATTCTTGCATTTGGATCACAATAGTTCCTGGAAGATCCGGATCTCTTTTCTTGAACCTTCATGTGTTCCCCATACACCAATCAGTAACCACATGGCAGAACATGTAAACCATGCGTTGCTCAGTATAGTTCCAAACTTGTTCACATAGAATAAGTTCATGCCCTCAGATTGGAGGTCTTCTCTATTTAACAGAATGAGCATATACCATCTATTGTTGCAGAGTTGAAGGCTGTCGTTTATTTTGCTTGGAACACAAAACGAAAGTGGCTTCCATAGATTTATTTCTTCTTTTCTTATTTTCATTGATCGATGGTGAAGTTGCCCTTCCACGCACTTTTTTTTTTTACTTTCCATTTCTTATTTTTATGATGAAATCTCTCAAATAGGTGTCAATAAGAACGCTGCAAATGGATCAGCTGCATTACATTTGAGGGAGAAACCTTGGGTCCTTCCAGGCGACATCAAAAAGACTGTAGATAAAAATCTACAGAGCTCTCTTTTGATACTCTCATTATCACTACTCTAGTCTCTTTGCCATTCTTCTCTATTTTCTTCTAAATTTTATCAGGTTCGGTGCTAATACACTCTAATTATTCTCTCTGATACAAATTAAGTCTCAATTGTTGGAGTCATTGAAGTCATTTCCTTGATTCTTTTTCTTGTATTGTTTTGTTGACTTGGGTGTAATACGCATGTGTTATATCCAGAAATATTAAAATCTGGTTGTCTAAGTTGCAATGAATAAAGTGTGGAAAAAAAAATCATTCTTTAAATAATTTAAATTGTGGCAGCCAGATTTTTAGAATATTTTTAGTGTCTTAACTTAAAAAAAAATTATAGAATATTTTTTATTATTTTACCCTTAGTCTCTCATTTGACGTACCTCAGTCTTTATCTGATATCCCCTTTCCTCCACTTTGTTCTATCGGACTTATCATGGAAAGAGTTGTTGTTGTTGTCATAGTTTCATGATCCTCTTTTATCGAGGATGAGACTTTCTAGATGGGCACAACGATAAGAGTGAGGCCTTCGCCTCTATCTCTATTAGACTCATAAAATGAGAGGGGTGGTGGTAGACGGTGACAGACGTGACATAAAAGACGAGGGAGAGCTAAGACTAACACGGGAGTAGTGGACGACGACAATGTAGAGGTACAATGATCTTTTCATGTGATCATGCTTGTTTTATGAGAATTTTTGAAATGCAAATTGATTGAAAAGTGAGACGGAATTATTTGGACCACTATAATTACATGGTCATTATGAACAAATATTACTCTTTTGTCCCTATGATTAGGGTATGATTCAAAATCTATTTATGTGTTTATTTATATTAATGCTATTTATATTTCCATTAATGTAACTTGCTACTTCATTTTGAATTTACTTTTTAATATTTTTTAACAACTATATATAAAATTGATTATTGGGCAATTTATCAAAAAAATGAAGCTTTTATTTTTACTAAGGACTATTTTTCTAGACTTTGACCAAAATACCTTCAATAAAATAAAAAAATAATGATTGTCCCTCAATAAATAAAAATTTTTAACAATTCGATTTGATTTAATTAAGTTTTAGATTATCCTTTGATTTTTCTAAATTACCCCAAACTATATCTCCACTCCTTCCCCTAAGCATTAGCTTCCTCCTCATTCTCCCCCTTAGCATCCTCCCACCACTCTATCATTAGCTCCTTCTCTCACTATGTCGTCTCCCCCTCTCTCTTAGGTTTCCTTTTCCTCTTTGCCTTTCGAGTTCTCCTCCCTCATCCACCTCTCTCACCCCTCCTCCACCTCCTTTTTTATCTTCTAATTCTCCTCCACTACTCCTAGCTTATCTATAAAAGTCATTACATTTGGATTATACTTATTTACAAAATATATTAAAAAATATCTATTTTTATTTTAAAATTATCTTAAATTTATCATAAAACTAAAAAAATCAATTATTCTAAAATTATATCAATTTTTCTATAAAATTATCTTAAATTATCTACAAAAATTATTACACTCGAATTATACTCGCGTCATACTTAGGTTATACTCTTTCACATAACATATTAAAATATTTAGTAATTTTTATATAAAATTTTTCTAGATTTATCATAAAACTAAAAAGCTCAAGTTATCCTATAAATATTAAATATATATAATTATCCAAAAATATATTTTTATATTAACTCGATTGATTTACAATCAAAGTTCCACTCATTCACATCACATGTTTAAAACATATTAATTTTTATATAAATTTATCTTAAATTCAACATAAAACTAATCACAAAATCCTATATTTCATAATTTCTCTTTTATATATTGATTTAGTTACACTCAAAATTGAAATAAGTTACCTTCGATTAATTAACTTATTTTAATATTAATTTTTTTAAGGATAATTAATGATCAAAACTGTGAGAATTCTATTATAATTTGATGCTAACAAAAAAAATTATTATTTTTATTTTATAATAAAATTTTAAATTAGTTTATATAAAAAATAATATATTATTATTATATATTATATAAACGAGTATAACTCGATTAAAACCTAAATGTAACTTGAATACAAGGGATCCGACCTGATCCGACTCGATCGATATAAAGTAATCTAATTCAAATCTATCTGATATAAATTAAATCGATTCACAGATCAATGAGAAACAATCTAGTTTAAAGATATTATTGGAATCAAAATAAACAAAAAAAGTATCCGTTGTTAAAAACTAAATATAGGATACTAGCGGAGAAAAGCAAAGGCTTTTTTTTTTCCGATAAACTGTCATTGATTATTCCCAATTTTCCGGATTATCTTTTTTACTCAAAATTTGATCTTACTATTTACAATTCTTTTATTATTTATAATTCGTTTAAAAAATAATAAATATTAGTTTATTATTCTCTACCCTCTAAGTATATTTTTATTCTCATCTTTTTTTTTTTTTAACTTTTCCATATCTTTTGTCTATGCACGCACGTAGTACCATCGGATCTCTCTATCACTCACACATCTTACTAGATAATTTGTAAAAACTCAAAATATAATATCTTCTGAGTTAATATAATTGACTTAGAAAATGATGTCTTTTTTTTATGTTATTGTAAAATATACATAGTCCTAAAAATATTAAATTATGATAATAAATATAAAAATATTTATTTTCTTAGTTTATAAATAGTAATCTCTTATTCATTTTTACATGCAAGCTTTTTTTTATTCGGACGAAAGCAATCTCGACTTTTACTAAAATGACTTGACTACATACGTTTACTTTCTAATAATAATAATAATAATAATAATAATAATAATAATAATAATAATAATAATAATAATAATAATATATTTTTATAAATATAAAAATCTCAATATAATTTTTAAAAATATAAGAATAGAAATACTAAAGATAACTAATTATATGAGATAATATACGATTAGCCGTATCATGTTTAGTGTTGCGCGAAGAAATTGACCAAAAATTAACTTCACACTTTTGGATGTTTCCTATTTGCACTTACTTTTATTTCTAATTAAATTTTTTTTGTTACACCATTAATTTTAGTGTGATAATCATGTGCTAAATTTACCTCTCAAAGATTGAAAATTTGAAATCTCATCTTACAATTGATGGCAATATATCATATTTACATATCAAACGTTGAGAGTTTGGTATGAAAGACTCACTTATCATTGAATCAAAAAGCTTTTTTTTTTCCCGTTAAAAAGAGACTAAGTTTCCCGTTCTAATGAGACAAACATGTAAGTAATATTTGAAGATGTCAGTTAAGCTACTAAAACTTTGACCTTTGATAATGGATGGAATCCCATCTTCAGCACTTAGCATTTGCAAAACCAAAAAAATATTGAAAATGAAAACTCAAAAAAAATAAAATATTTGAAGAATGTTCAATGGGCAATGGAGTAATGTTGTTGATAGAAGAAATAATAATAATAATAATAATAATAATAATAATAATAATAATAATAATAATAATAATAATAATAATAATAATAATAAAATCCTAAAATTACAAGAGATTCTCTCAAAGGGACATATCTTCTGTTGGGTCTCCCAACTTTGCTCACAGAATCAATCTGCTATACGAGATAGTTCAATAACGTTACTGCACATACCAATGAAAGGAACAGAAGACTGTTTGGCTTTTTGATTGATGAACTTCCTGCAAAATGATATGATAATGTTAGAACTGGTTCTACTAGTATCAGGGGAAGTATAAGTGAGCATTTATAATTTTTATTCAACAAGCTTTCTTAATTAAACAAGCATATGGACAGTTGAAGTAGAAAATTATTTTTCTTATATGCTATTCCATCAATGGTGTTTGTTCATTCGCAACTGGAGGAAGGCATTAGTGGAATTCTGAAAATAGAAAACTACTGCAAGACTTCCTAAGCAGAATATGAGCTTTCTTCTCAAGCTCCAAAATGAAACATCTAAAAAAGTCAAATTGTTCTTAGAAATTTCTGACTGTAATTAGTTTCGGTAGCATTTTAGTGTAACCGAGGTTTGTATTCATGAGACAGCAAATAGGTTTTATGTGGTACATGTTCTTATACCAAAGTCGGAATATGAATGCCAGAAGATCTGGATGTTTCAAATGAACAAACACAAATATATGAATGCTGAAACAGCAATCAGAATGAGATGTGTACCTACCGAAAAGAAGATAATGGTTTTTGATATTCCACTCAAAATCCCAATGCATTCTGTCATTCTTCAGTGTCCAGTAAGACCAACCAAAAGAAGCATCATCAAAGGCATCTAATTGAGCCATACCAAACATCTGATATTGGGACTGCGAGGCATTTGTCACATTCCATTCATTTACCCACTCACCTGGATGATGCACATCATGCATGTATATTAGGTATAACTTCTCAAAACGCAAGCCGGCTAAAAGATGTCATTTCTGCAAAGAATTAATTTTTTGCATAGCAGAGGAGAAAAAGATAAGAACATGAGCATTGTCCTGAGTACAATAGTAAAGCACCGAATAATGGAGATTCATACAGTACTATGGCATTGGAGAGCAAAACAAACTGGTAATGCATATAGATGTAATCATGGTGTGAGGCATCAAGCAGAATTTTAGTAATTGATAATGCTCAGATAAAAGGAAGGCACATACATTCAGGATTATATAAATGTTAAGATTTTTAGTTTCCTAAAACTCAGTTGACTCAAAAGTATAATTGACATCTTCCATAGAATATTATACTGCAGTCTTAGATATAAAAGCATGAACCAGAAAAGCTTACCAACGTAGACAAGAGGTCCATTTGCACTGTTCAGTGACTGCAATTGTGGCACTCTCTTGTCATATATGTATTGAATATTCTCTGTTGCGTTCATGTTGCTAAAATATGGATCAAAGAGATTATAATAGTGCAAGTCAACAACAATATTTGAAACTCCAATATTTGCCTGATAAAGCTCCATCGGATCTGCATTTCCTATTCTTTGACAGACTATAACATAAACTGTTGAAGAGTAGTTCCGAACAATATGGTACCCTCTTGTGTAATAAGAAACTAAAACATCAAATGGAACTGCAGCTGCAGAAGGCTCATTTAAAAGTTCAATCCCTAACAGAGCAGGATGATTTGCATACCTGGAAATGGCGGAACCAAATGTAACATTGATATCAGCCATAGGACTGGTTTTCTAATCTGCATTTTGTTAATGTCTCCTAATTTAATTGATATTTCTTTGGCACCCGAACTTATTCAAAATGAAAATCTTTTACTAGCTCAGTGATTTCTTTACATTACTGATGCAAGGAAACAAAATGTTGTAAACAAGAAGTTTGAATCAACAGTTATCTCAATTTGAAATTTTAAACTTCATGAGAAGGATAAAATGTAGTTTTTTTCAATCAGAAAAGCAGAATGGTAGCAACACAAAATCTTATGCTTCACAGGCATGACATGAGGATGTCATGGAAAATATCCAAGTAGATTATTATATAGTAAAAACGTTCTTGATAGAGCATTTTCAGACCAACAAATATATGTTGAGGAAGTGGTTTAGGTTCCTTTGAAGGATTAATTGTATCTTAATGAGGAGAACTTTCTTGAGAACTCCTGACTGATGGAACAATTCCTTTATAATATTAGTAACTGGCCTGTAGAATGACATGATCACAGTTGGACCAAAAGGAGAAAAATTACTTATTCCTGTTCTCTAGGCATGTCTCTTGAACTTCCAGCTCAACATGGACAATGGTGACATCCATTATTCAGTTTAAATGTCCACCATTATCATCGGAATTTAGCTTCCGTCATCATCAATAATGTTGGATACACATCTGTGTTAAATATATATGCATAAGTTGGAGACTTCAAAATATCTTTAATTAGAGATGTCAAACATTAACAGTACAATAGAACTAGAAGTGGACTCTTTGATATCTGACGATCTGTAGTTTATTATTCCCGTAATTTGGCTTCTAGTGGCTTTAGATATGAGTATTTTATAGTTAGTGAGTCTCTAGAGATGCTTATCAACATGGTAGTGCTGTTTTTCAATTGAGAGCATAGTAGGGGATATTAGGTACTTCATATAATCAAAAGGAAAGAACTGTTGTGTATATCAAAAGATTTCACAAATACATTATCTGAGTGTTCACTTCAGTGAGCTTCTAGACTTTGTGTAGATTCTCTTAAGCAACTACTCAACATAAGTAATTAGTAATATTCGCTTCAGGATGCATGAACTTCCAAGGCATTAAAGAAACCATAGCACCTTTTTTTTTCCAGTTTCAGATGTCAATTAATTATCAACCAAGAAAGAACCATGTACCTTGCTGACAGGAAGTCGATCACATCCAGTGTTTGTGAGATGTAATCTGGTGTTGGCCAATCTACCGAACCATCTCGACTGGCACTATGTTCCATCCCATTCTGAGAACCAGGTGCAGCATGAAGATCAATGATGCATTTCAGGTCATGAGTCCTGCATTTAAAGTAACAATCATAATCTTCATACTTTGGAAAATTGTAGAGCAGCACAGAAGTTTTAATGAGATAATCACTTAGTTGTCGCAAAGAAGAGCAAAAAAACAGTAGTACTTTGCCCATGAAAATGCTCTGTCCAGAGCTGCTAAGGATCCTCCAATGAAAGGAGCTGGTGGCTCAGGATCTTTTGCAATCCACCATCCAACAGGAATTCTAACAGTATTGATACCATGCCGAGATAGGAAAGCAAAATCTTCAGCAGTAATGAAGTTGTTTCTGTGGTTCTGGACATCAGATTACAATAGTTTGTTTGCAAGAAGCAGCAAGTAAATACTTCAAATCAATATGGATGAAAAAAAGACATCTCGAACAACACTTATAGGAGGCAATATGAAAGCCTACCGCATAGATAAGGAATAACAATAAAGACTTTGATATGGTCAATCGAGCAAAAAATGTCTCACTCTTACCGTCAGGACCTCTTGAGCCTTTTCGTGTCCAAATCCATTAGCAAGCTGAAAATCTCCATGCAAGTTGTTGGCAACAACTGTCATTTCAAATGTTGCTTCATTATCATCCCATCCTAGATCACCTTGATGATTCCCATTGAGCTGGTTATTCACTGTTGCCTAAAAGAGATTTTACAAATTCGAGATATTTAACCTTTTTCTATTCTTTTTGAAATATTCCACCAAAAATAATTGACAACACCAGCATGTTAATGCAATTTGTGATTAAGAGCCACAAACAATACCTGTACATAGTTACCATTTAAAAGCTTGATGTGAATCTTTGTATTATTTCTTTCGATGTAAAAGGTCTCATTCATGGCTGGTGAATCTGCTGTTGCGGAAATTGAACTTCCTCCATTATTTGATGTTAAAAATTGACCTCCAAAGCAACTAAATTGAAATTCTACTTCAGATACTCGCCATAGCTGGTGGAAAGCATCTTCAGTCAGAGTAGCTAACATGTTAGGACCAAAAATTTTCTAACTAATGAACAATTTGGCAAACTAAGATCACAGGATAGTTGCAAACAGTGAAAAAATTTAGATCTAAGAAATACTAAACTAAATTTACAGATATTCTTATTAAGAAAATTAGAAACAAAAACCATTAACTGACTAGCAATAAGTGCCACAATAGATATGCCCAATTGACAAGATGTCAACCCTTCTGTGATGGCACAATTTGCATATCCATGCCCCATTATGTTCAAGTAATGCTTGCCTCTTTGTGGCTGAGACCGAGTTGTGTGGTCCTTGCCTGAGATTTTATGCTAAATAATTCAACTTGTACAATTACTATATCCTCTAGTTTCATGAATAGAATTTTGCACCAGCATAGAACAGCCACTGCTTAAATATTTTGTACAATGTCTAGGCCAATTCTTAATGTCTTTTTCCACCAGCAAATAGTGTGCCTGAGCTACATGGTGTAAGTGACATATAGATTTAATCATTGATGTCTCAAACCTTGCATAGTCTAAAATAATGTTTGGATAGCATATTTAAAAAGCTTCAGTACTTGGTTTAAAAAGCTAACCGTCCATAGATATGCAAGGTTAAAACCTCAAACATCTGTCTCATCGTCGTCAGCAAACAATAACTATTATCTGTAAAGTTGAGCTTTCATTCAAATATTGTGTCAAAATTTATCTTCTTAGGGAATCTTAGCTACAAAAGATTTTTAACAAATAAAGTATGTTTTAACTTTTAGCGATACTTATCTTGTTAACACCATGAGTTTCCAGTTATCCAGATCAGACACCAAAAGGCAACAAAGAAAGGGAAGACATGGCATCCATTCTGAGAAATTCTATACTAACTCGAGAACAGAGAGCACCTTGAAGGTCTCCCATGATGATGCGACGTCTCTGTCGATAGTCACATTTCCGCCTCCTCCGTCGGCTGCACTGACGTACTTCTGCAGGGCCACTGATTTCAGTTGCACTTGGGTTCCATCCTGCACACAATCATCGCCACCAAAACCAAAAGAAAAAGATGAAACCAACGACATCGACAGAGCCACTAAGAGAACCAATCGCCGCAGGCGCTAATAGCACAGAAACCCACAAGCATGTCCCCGTTGGGAATTCCATCAAACAGTGAAGGCTTGATCCATCCCTCCACCACCAGCCACCCGCCCAAGTTGACGCCCCTCACCTTCGAGAAACCATCAACTAAAACCCAAGCACAATCATAAGAAACAGCGCACCAAAGCGGCAGGCACACGAGACATGGCAGAAAGGCATGGCCTTTACCTGATGAATGCGACAATCGGAACAGAAGAAGCAAGACCATCAAGAAACCAGATGCAAGCACGCTACAGTGAATCACCTCCATTGTGGTGATCAGAAGACGTGGCCCAACTGGAGACCACAGAGCTCTTAAAGAAGACTTCTTGGACCCCTGGATGAGAAGGAAGGTGGAGGAATTTTGTGGATACCTGCCTTGAGCTCAAGTTTATGCCAAACGGAGCTCTGTAAGCATGTAATTTTTAGGGCATTATCTTGATGGCTTCACAGAACCCCTACCTGACGGGCCATTACCAACCAAAAGCTGTCAAAGGAGCTTCCTTTCGTGGTTTCCTCGCTTCCCCCCCTCCATCTATCTCTTCTCATCTTTGTGCGGAGCGGCGTGAGGCAGTGAATAAAGCGATGGAAGGAATCATCTTTGGAAAGCACATCGTCTTTTAGGAAGAACTTTGTACTTAATCTCCGTCAGTTTTATCATCTTTACCAATGAACTCTAATCACTATTAATATCATTGGTTGATTGGGACGATGATAATAAGGTCATGAAAAATATTTTAGATATTTATATTTTATATATTTAAAATTTTAATGTCGTAAATGCTGATCCCAAATCTGAGTAAAAATGATAGAAAATTACGTTAGGTCATTGATGGCTAGCATAATACTACATCATATCTCATAAATATGATATTTAACCGATTTAATTAAGACGTGTAATTTTTTATTATTATTATATATTTTTTATATATTTAAAATTAGATAAATTTGTAGAAAAAACTCTTTAAAAGTTTTCTACATAACACTCTTAATTTCAAAAGTTTTCACAAATTTTTTCACCGCTCTTCCCTCCGACGATAGAACCTCCACCATTGCTATGCCTCCTTCTTGCTTGCATGAGAGTGACGAGGGTTGTCGCCATCATAGCCTCTTCTTGCTTGCATGATCTTCCCTCCCCTCTGCCACTATCATGCTTCCTTGATCGCACGAGAGTGGTGAAATCTGTCGCTATGTGCCCCCTCCTTTCTTGCAAGAGGGCAAGGCGAATAAGAGTAGGCCTGATGTGATAGATATGACACAAGGATGATAACGGACATGGTGCAAGCGCGATGCAAGGTGACAATGATGATGTAGGGGTGGCGTAAAGTGATGGTGTAGGGTTAAAATATTTTTTTATGTAATTAGAGATGCTTTCGAGAAATTTTTTTTAAAAAATATATTTTTAATTCACTCTTTAAAATTAATAATATTTATTTATAATCATGATTATCCATGGTAATTTGAGTTTTTGGGTCAATATTAATGAAAGATCAAAAGAGCATATATATACTTGAAGAATCATAATGTTTGAAGCAGTATATATACATATATATATTTGTTATTTCTCTAATTTGCAAGGATAAATCTGTAAAAACACGGATAGATTATATTATCTAAAGTTCATCGGAATCAAACATGAATTGATTCGAAATAAGCATCAACAAGTGTGTCCATCCATCGCATTGACTTCACACTGCCCTGTTCTTTCAATGGGGTAGAGAGATTCCCAAAGGAGGGGACATGATCACGTTGTCATGTGAGATGCTGATAAGAATGTGTTTCCCACTACGGATTGCAATGCTTGGCTGCAGGTTGCTGTGGATCAACATCTTGGGATTCCTTGTGGACCGCTTTAATTAATTAACATATAACTAAATAATGTTATAAAAAAATATAAAGCATAAATAAGAAAATAAATTGAATATAAATTATCTTATTTTGACGAAGAGAATGCTGAAGGAATTTCTATCCTGATCCGACTAATTATGTAATCAATGTCTTATCTTCCTAATGATTCTCGTCAATTTTGAAAGTTTTTTTTTGAAAAAAGAATGATAAAAATGGATTACGATTCAAAGGTCATGCGATCAATTTTTATCGATCGTTAGCACCTTTAAAAATACGTTCAGATAAAATTTTAAACCCTCAACATTTGATAAATAATTATTTTTATAGTAACTATTCACCAATTGATAAGGGACAATTTGATCGGCCATTCACCAATGGGACTAAATGGTCTTTATCACCGGTATACATAGTTTTTAGCTGGATGAAACTTTTACTGGCAACAAGGTCAACTGTTTAAATGACACAGATTGCTCTCTGAAAAGCATGAGAGAGAGAGAGAGAGAGAGAGATATAGATAGATAGATGACATGGTATCATGTAACAATCACATTCTGTAAGCTGAAAAGTAAATTATAATACAAGCAAAAAAATCATGCTCCCAAAACTGTATAAACCTTTTGAAATCTGAGACATCAGAAAAGAAAAATTGCCAGTCTTTTCAGAATGCATTGTGATAGGTACTTAAATACTATGATCTTCTGCAATAAATTGATTTTTACCTCATCTACATGATCTGAATTGAATCACCATGAAGCTTGGAAACAGACATAAGAATATAGGCATTTAACATATGAAGATATTATATGTACAATCTAAGCAATTTACTATCATCATATACATAGGTTGCAAGAATAACAGTCATTCACTTGAAATGCATGCCAAACCAATAAGAAGACCAAAGGACACATATATTACTAATATTTTATACAAGTGAAACATATATTAGTGTAAGTATAAATGTTTTGCTTGTATCATTATGTCTTCAAATGCTTTCAAAAGTGTCCTACATATATCAGCATGCACATAGAAGGCATTTAAGAGCCTCTAACCATCAAAGTCTAAGCAGATTATGCAGAGTCTCAGCTAGCAATTCATGCAAGGGGAAACATAAAAGACATTGAAGAACACATTAAAATCATATGTCAATCTTGCACTGCTAAGAGTTCTCATCAAATTGAGAAGAATAAAGAAGTTACCTTTCCTAAATAAATATGAACTCTGCATATACCTTTCACTGGCTGCTTTTATCACCACATAGACGACACACAACATGTCAAGTAAAGGTGGTTTATGCATCATATATATAACTCATTATATGTTTTTTTTTTGTCTTCTTTAGTATCGACCTGCACTCGGTATCACACATCTGTGAACACTGAATTGAAGCCTGAGGAGTAACTCAAGTTTGCAGGTACTGCAAAGAAGTACTGTAAATATGATTGTATTCGGCAATGAATCATCTGGAACAGAAACATACTCTCTAAAAGTAGGAATTGGAGGCATGTTCATATCGAAAGAATTAAAATGAGTTCCTTGCGAAACGATGCACACATTTAAATAGAAGAACCAACTAACATTTCAGGTATTCTGTCAAGGCAGGATAGATTTAGACTTCCTCATATAATCTAGTTTATAGGCAATGCAATTTTGCAGTATAATGTTTTACAACATCCAACTTAGCAGCAAAAACGGAACCAATATGCATCTAATAGATACTCAGTATGTATCACAAGGCACAGATAGATGAGAAGTAAACTACAAGTACAACTGAATAATTAAATAGAATCGATTCGAAGAGAAACACATAGCATGTTGTAGAACCTGATGCATTCATGTAACACATCGAGAATGCTCGTTTGTGGTGCATACTAAATTCCATCACCTAATCAGGTTGTTTAAACTAACATAAACCAAATGGCACCACATTAGCTAAATCAACCATTATGCTTGTCGAGAAAAGAATTAAAAGTTTTTTCATGGAAATTCAAGTCGAAGCATTATAACAAAGATTAAGGAGGCGACGTAGATGAAATGGGGGCCGAAGACAGTGCCAACCCAACAAAGAATGAAAATTGTAGTCTCATTCACCAATTTTCAAAATAATTAAAGTTAAAGAACCAAGGGTTATTCCATTAATCCTTCACCACTTTGATCCACCCAAAAAAGAGAATTTGTGAGCTTCATTTTTTGCTAATATATATTCAGACTGTTGAGCACTAAATGGTTGATAAGAAAAACCATTTGTTTCCGCGAGGTGCGACACAATGCGCACGAAGTGTTCGTTTCAATTGCCTACAAAACCTATCAGATTTGTATCACAATCACAATGTGCATTTAGAAAGGGAATAACAAGAGAAAACCAAATAAGCAAGCAAAGGTAGGCTAGAGAAGCAAACCCAAGTTTCCTCTACCACCTTCAATGATCATATAGAAGCATCGATGCATCTGACTGATTCAAAAACAAAGATGGACTTATTTCCATTACTGCAAATCTGAGTCCTCAGGTGAGGAAGTTCACTTTTGAGCTCCCTCATGATCCATTGATCATACAAACAGAAATCAGCAGCTCCAGAATTGCCTGACACCACTCATGGTATTAAAAGATCCGCAGATGCTACCAACTCAACCCACAACAGATCAAATGCTACATAGGCATGCTATGGATTCTGGCAATCTGCCCATATTTTGAGAAGAGGAACCCTCTTCCGCTGCTAGATAGCGATCTTTCTATGTCGGAATGTCCCTTATCCATAGCCCCTTTGGAGGAATTCCAGTGCTTCACCCTGTTCTTTGGAGAACTGTCTTCCTCAAAGGTCGCGTCTTTCCCTTCCTCATCAATGATGCTCTCTTCAGGTTTGACTCTGCCGATGATAGAATTCATCAATGGAGTGTCCATTGAAAAGGATCGCCGAACCGGCCGCAATCCGAACCCCCCAACATCGCTTTGCCCTCGCGATCCGGAACTTTCAGGTGGCAGATCGAACGCTTCCGTATGGTTGATCGGAATCCTAATTGCAACAGTGCTCTCCGTTCCTCCTCCGTTTTGCTGCTCCTCCAGAGGTTGGATCCTTATAAGGGCAGTCTCCTCAGCAGCAGGGAAGGTGGAGTCCAAGTCCACCGAACCACCGGAGGCAGTGATAGAAACTGCGAGGGCGACGGCGGCTGCGGGGGGCGAGGGTTCACCGTTGGGGTCGACGATGCGAACCCGACAAAGGGGGCAATTAACGTGGGCACGGAGCCAGGTGTCGATGCAGGAGACGTGGAACGCGTGGCCACACCTGGGGAGCAAGCGGACGCGCTCACCGTCGTGGAACTCGTTGAGGCACACGGAGCAGTCGGAGACGCCGTCGAGGATGCCATCACTGGCCCGGTATTCCTCCACCGCGATGGAACCGATGGTGGACTCGTCGAGGCCCACCGTCCGAATGTACCAGACATGGTGGAACGGCTCCCCGTCTCCAACAAAACCGTCATCGTCGTCGTCACCTATGGACGCCGGGCCCGTGGCGGCGACGCGGAGGGGGAAGCGGCAGCGGCGACGGCGGAGGACGGCGTAGTAGGTGATAGAGAGGAGGAGAACAGCGGCAATAACAGCGGCGCCGATCATTAGGAGGTTGGCGAGCCGACGGTCGTGTTGGTCATCGGTGCAGAGAGGAGGTAGAGGGGAGGGAGGAGGTGTCGGAGGACAACAAGGAGGAAGAGTAGCGGGATGACGGACGGTGCTGGCGCTGCCCTCGTCGTCGTCGTGCCTGTGGGGCTCCTTGGATAGGATCCGACGGTAGAGTCCCATCGGAAGGCGAGCTTCCGTACGGTCCCGTGAGAGACAGAGACAGGGTGGGGGGTTGCACAGGAAGTCGTCTGTGTTTGCTTGGTAAAGTCAACGTTCGTGTCAGATTACCCACTACTGACACGTGGCGTCCCCTACGTGCATGTGCCGGCGTTCGGTGACGTCGGTGGACTAAGTGGGCCACGTTTCGTCAACATTCGGCACTAACCCGCCTGACCGAACCGCTGACAAGGTGGGCCGCATCTCGCCTACGTCACATGAGGTGGGCTGGTGAGGATGGACGGCCACCAAAACTGTGGGTCATATTCTGTAGGGATTTGGGTTTGAGGTGGGACACACAAAGTGGAGGCAGCGATTCGCAGAGTAAATCCATGGGTACACATGATTTACCACGTCAGCATTTTGTATTTTTCCTTTTCGACAATTCCTGGTTTATCACTCTCACCTGAATGACCTACCTTTATTGTTATTGGAGACAAGCATGGAGCCCACATGGGACCAATGTATTGTTATTAAACGCGTTATTTGATTACGTATTTTGTGTATACACACATATATACGTATTAGAAGTTAGTTGAATGGACATGGCAAAATCATATACTTAT